TGTGTTAATATCAGGGTCTTGGACATGAACATTTGGTGCGGCATGATGAGTGTTATGTTTATCCTTCCACCTAACAAAATAAATAATATATTATATGCATCACAACTATAATTTAAACTTTTACTATTATTATTTTGATATGTAACATAATATTAGTTTTTATGGGCCCTGAACTATTTGTTTTTCCACAAAATAAATAAATAAAAGTTTAAAATTTATTTTTTTAAACTCTTATAAGTTTTAACGTCTTTGGAAGCCATAACCTTTTTAATTTCAAGATTATCTATCACCATTACCATTCTCTCATCGACAATTATATTTCAAGTTCAAAAATAAATAAAGAATTCGTTGGTGAGTCATGTGATTCTCATAGATATTGTCAGAGATTTAAATTTTTTTAAAATTGACCACGCGGTTAAAGTTGGTGTCTGCAACTGATTTGAAATTCTGAAACTCGTTGCGACTAGTTGCAGGCACTCACATTAAAGCTCTTATTTTCTAAATTCTACAACCGGTTGCAACTTCTTAGTTGCAAACACCAACTTTACGCGTGGTGCAGAAAGTTCACTTGCACTGTAGCAACCGTCAACAAATTTATGTGATGTTGCAACCTATCAATTGTAGAGCCATCTTTACTATTGTAAAGATATTCTTGACATTTGAGATCTATAAAATTAGATGACAATATTGGAAATAATTATCTTTTATGACGTTATGATTTCTTTTTGTGCTAGTCTTCAACAGCTTAAAGTCACAAACGGACCATTAACAATCTCTTGAACTTTTACAGGACCATGCAGGAATAGAAGCTTCAAAAAATAATATTGAAATTGTTGAATATCATCATAATCTAACATGCTTCAAACCAAATTTGATGTCAAAATATCCAAAAGTCTTTTCCGACATCATAACGTCGATTCAATCCGGAAACACCATATATCCTTTTGCAATTTCCATAGCACGGTCCGCGCAACCTATGCTTAGAGTTTTTGATTCATTCAAATCCGCCATCACATTTGAATTTGGAATCATGAATTTTAGTTCAATATTGTTTCTATTTTTCTCGTCGGAATTATCACAAGTAATCTTTAGATGCTTGTCACATTTATTTAATTTCTTAGTTACATCATCAGAAACCA